TGCAGGGATCATGACAGCAATCGCAGCAGTGCATTTAATACGGCTGATTGAAAGCGAAATAGGTGATATTCATGACGGGTGTGGAACAGCGCTAATTAATTCCCTCGTGGGATAAGCCACAAGTTTTGTCAACAGGAAGAACACGGAAGCATTTAGATGTTTTTTTCTCTTTTTTCGGTCCAGCATGGGTTCTGGATGGGGCATTTCATGCTCTTTTCTGTTGCGTCTTGTCATCTTTATTTACTCAAGCCCCACAACTCACCATCTTTCACCACGGAGCGTCCCTCTAACCATAAGCAGATCCCATAGGGTTCACGTATCCTACTCACTTTGAGGAGTCGCTTCGGTGCACTCCGAAGTAACACTCCCTTGCTGTTTCACCTCAATGGGTGAGCCTTTAGTGACAGTAACTTACTGATACTTTTTCCAGTGGTGTGGTGGGTAGTCACGCTCGTCGTGCTGTTTCTGCTTATTGGAGTATCGTTCCTTGCGAATGCCTACGAATTTATTGGGTGGGTTTCTTGGAGAATTAGTTTTCATCTGAAAGAACAGAAGTAAACCAGTCACGATTTTTAATGACACAGGCCACGCTGATAGTGTGGGGGCGTAGTCAGACCTAGCGCCCTTCTTTCTTCACTGATGCACTTTTCCTTTCATTACTCGTCACTATGCTTAACGAATAGCTTTATATCACCGCGCGCACATTTTTATGAGGCTCGTTACAGAATGTGCACGTAAAGTGGGCGTTGGTCAGGAGGTGCACTTGTGGTGCCACACAGAATTCAGTGTGCACGAACGGCCTAGTGGTTCCTCTCGACACGCCAGGTCGCACGCGGCCCCGCGCGCGACGCCGACGCAAGTTGGATCTCCTGACCCACATAGACTATTCCGTTTATTGTGCGCGCCTCTACAGCACACTTTTTGTAGATTTATAATCTTGCCAATGTTACAGATTCCAATACCGGAAAGCTCGTTCAAAGGCGCAAATCCGTCGATTCGATGAGCTGATGACACGGGTCGGTTGCGGTACCATCACTGGTATTCCACTTGCTCCTAACGAACAAGTTCTACGTGCCGTTTGTAAGTGGTAGGTGAAGAGAGTATTATTAGGTTGATCACGAGGTCTTACCCCAGTTTGAACAGACAGTGACGGGAAAATCAGAACGCTTTCCTAATACGATGGCGTTTATCCCGCACAACGTGCGACCCTATTTACAAGGAAATGAGCGATCTATAGGAAGGAATAAAGAATCTCCTAGAATCGATCGAGATCGCTTAGCTTGCCCCAGGACTTTTCTTTCACCTCGGCTTGCCCTAGGACTTTTCCCTCACACTACTCAGAACATCGGGCGTCTTCAACGCCTGAGTCAGGAGATGGTAAAAAAATAAATGGGCGGATATATCATCTATTGATCCTGTCTTGCCACAATCAGGCAAAGCAAGCTCGAAGAACGAGCAGGGCAGGATGAGATCACCGCCCCTTTCTTTCTGACCACCTAGCTTGGGCTCTGAAACGGCTCCATTGTTCTGAATTATGCATGGTTGGGACATTCTCCGCAACGGCTGACCATTCATGTTAAAAATTGCTTAAAAGGGGTGTTACGACTTCAGAGCTGACCTATTTTGCTGGACTTTTTCATCAGATAGAAACTGAAAGAACTTTATTCTTTCTGCCATCGCTGGGTATCGCCTAAAGTATTTGCATTTGGTCTGAGCGACTTTTTGATGTTAAAATTGTGCTTCCCGGAGCCTCATTGCAGTCTGAATGTGAAACACATTAAAAGAGAATCCAAAAGTTCTCGCAAAATCTTTTTATTGTTTCTAATACTTCCTTCAAATATTTCGGTGCCTAGCACCTTCTTCAGCGATGGAATACTAAAGTTAGCCGCCTCCAACCGAATCCTGAACCTTGCCTTCACTGGTGCCTCCGATCTGAACTCTGACCTGGTCTGCTGCCTCCAATACCGCCGCCGCTGCTCCTTGCGAAAGCCGCGCCTTTTAGTGTTGACTGTGACCCTACCCGTTCACCCTCCTTAAATAGTGAGGATGCCTAGTGAGCGCTTCTGCATATGATATCACTGACCGCTCCACCATTATCACGTAGTCAGTGAATCAACTGCAGCGCGTCACTTATAGTGTAGTTCAGTGCGGACGGTTGGGCGGCTGCGTTTGGCGCGGTGCCAAATTCGTTCCCTACCAGTTGTTGAAGCTGGCAAGTGACAATACTCTATCATATCCTTCGCATTACCTGTTTTTCTACTACTTTTTGTCGCCTGCGTGTTTTCAACAAGAAGGCAGAGAACGACCTCAACGGTGTGATCACTCATACTGCCCGACACGCCCAACCGTCGTCGAGAATTACGTGGTAGGCTCGTCCTTACTATTCATTTCTGAGGAGATCCTTCTTATTTCCAGTGCTTCCAAAGCATGTGAAAGCAATGCGACTGGCTTCGTGCCAACAGCCGCTACGGTAGACGGCTGCATCTACCGTAGGCTCTGGGCAGGAAGCCCAGGCAGGAAACTCGTCCGAAATTGCTTTCTGAATCGTGTAGAACAAATACTTTTTCCACAGGTTTTTGATAGTTTTGCTTCGTTTTCCGTCATTTTCCCACTTTATGGCAACCTGCGACCATTTTAGACCGAGCACCAAATTATCGTGCTTTATGCCTTCAAAGAACCTATTGCGATATTGTACTCTGTTTCCAAGTGCATGCTCGTCCAGCTTGTTTCTCTGATGTTCAACTGTGCTCCATTGTGTTGTTGTGCATGTGTAGTGTATTTCAGCAACAAAACTGCTATGTGTCGTCGTGACTTGTATCGTGTACCCGCAATGTCACCAATCGCGTTCGAATGTGACGCGTCTACCGGAACCGAGAATCGCCTTCCACCGACACCAAATATGTCGCAACCATCTTCGACGAAAAGCTATGGCTGAAGGCTCCTGAAAATTAGCTGTTATGGGGACTATGGAACTAAGTTTCCTCAATTTCATGTTTACCGTACTCCTTTTCTCTTTTGATTTCCAGTTTTGTATTGCCACGCACTTGCCCCCCCCCCCTCTCTCTCTCTCCTGGCCATTCTTGCAGTCATTTATCGTAATGTTTGCATGCTGTGTTCATTCGTATATCTTCACAAAACACCATTAGATATAATAACTGTCTGAATGTTTTATTAAATATTCGCAGCACCTTTCAAATAAACATTTCTGGAAACTTCGCATTAACCTTTTCGAACTTGCCCCGAACCTATATTCAGCGGATTTTTTGGAGTTTCTCTGAAAGGGACTCTGCGATGTATCCCATTCAAGAAGTTCCGAGAAAACTAAATTCAAAGAAAACAGCTTATGGGCGGTTTTCTCCTTCTGCATGGACTCAAAATTGAGCCTCACTCTTGACGAGCTCTTCTGCTACCACTGCGCCACAGGGGCCACCGTCCGCGTCCGAGCTTAGAGGCAGTTGACACGATAAATCCCCGAGACGTGTAGGATTAATATGCCTAGGCAGGACTGAATTCGTTCATCGCGCCCGTCCGCCCACAAATATCCGACCGATACTGGTACTTGTTCATTTGCAAAGTGCAGTATGAGGCGAAGGGACTGATATGAAGCGGATGCAGTTATGGATGGTCGTGTAGAACAAGGTCTTTTTGCAGATCTTTGACCTTTTCACTTCGCTTTTTCTCCATTTTCCTGCTATTTAGCCCATTGCTACCATTTTAGACGAAGCAGCAAATTATCGTGCCAACTGCCCTCGAGCCAGGTTCCCCTTTTCCCTCCCGAATCCCGATTCCGTAGCGCAACCCGGTGCTACGTGTCGCGCTTCCGTAAACAACAAATACTGAATCAAATTAGAAAATACCTATTTTAATACTTGATCAGTAGCTCATAACATGAGCAGTGTGTGCCAAGGTGGGCTGCACTGTGGACGACGAAGAATGCATGTGATTGGTTCCAAGCTTTTGTCCACCAATAAGAGACGCCAAGCTTTAGCCTGCCAACATGGTTCGCAGCAGCTTCATTTGTCTTTTACCTATTTGGTACTTTTTTGCAGCAATAGAGACCTTGTTGACTAGAGTACGTCCTGCTATTGGGGAAATCCTTCCTGATAACGGCCCTCCTCTAAAAAAACTGTCGTTGAAGAAGTGGATTGTAGGGGGGTGATGTGGCGCTGAGAGTGTAGGTGCAGCGTCTGGAAGTGGCCTCAATCAGACCTCTATTCTATAAGAGGAACACAAGGTGCCAATGAGGTGGAGGTGGCTCATAGCTTCCTTTCGCCCGACTCCGCCCATTTGATAAATGTGGAATGTGCCTTGAAAACCTTCAAGTTGAGCTTGAATTTCTTCCTTGCAGTGAATTTCGGTGTCTCTTCGCGTTTTTCACTGATGAGCTTCCAGTAAAGCACAATATTGAGACATATTTTGCTTTGTTGATGCCAACCACGAGTTCGTGCTCAATTGCCCATAAGTAGAACAAAATACGACACTACCGCTTTTTATTAGGTGCTTTTCTGCCTCTGGACTCCCACCACATCATCGCTCCGCTGCAGATCGCGTGCCTCTATAAGTCCTTCATTCTCTGCACGGCAGACCAATAAGGAGGTAGAGGGGGAGACTGAAGGATGACATGCTTTTTCTTTGTGGACTAGTCCATTGGACCAAGTGAACCCTTTTCAATGCTCCGCATCACGGCTTGCAGAATTTTTTCGGGTGGGTCCCTTAGAGTAAATTTGAATCAGAAGAGAAAAAGTCTTTCACGACCGAGCACGTCTTACATTCCCGGGTAGTTTTGGTCGCTGGAGTGAGAGAGGTCGCATTTGCCCTTGAGAAAGGAGGAAGAGGAAACCTCTCAATCGTTGACATTCTCTATTTGCCCTGGGGGATGAGGGAGGGGAAGTTGTACCTGAAGAAGAAATTTCGACGGTGAGGGTGGTCATATTTGGCAATCTGACTTTCCCTGAACGGGAGGACGTGTCCTGTTAGCTGTGCTTTTGCAACGGGAGCCTTTGCAGCTTCCTAGCTTTCTCTTTTTTTCTGTTTGCCCTTCCAAGGAGGCAAAATTGAAAAAAACGAATATTAATCTATTCATGAAATGTGTGACTATCTCTGCCCTTTTCGGACATTGGCATTTACTCGCTTCTTGCTCGATTAGGCGATTACCTCCAATATCACGCCTCCTGCACGGTATCCATTCATTTTGGCCTAATCTCCAGAGGACTGAACCCGTATTTCTCTTCACTCTTGCAGGATCAACCAGTTGATTCTCATTTGATTCTTTTTTAATTCAATCCTCGTCATTCATTGATTTCTGAGAACGTCTAGGTAAACACAGCCCGTTGTTTTGTGGCCTGAGATGGCGGAGTTGCAACAAATGGCTTTATCGCTTTTGCTGTCGGTAGATTAAATCCACCAGCACCAGAGAACCCTTTCCAGATGGCTTAACCAGTGATCTTTGTTGGAGCCTCTGCGTCAAGCATTGGCTGGCTCCCGCAACACTGCGCAACATTTACATACCACAGGAATGCTGGCTTAGGGGTAATAGTCTTGACCCCGACGGATAAAGAGTAGCGGGAAGCGTGAGGTGCGGGGAATCCCGCTTTGGTCATGACTTTTGCCTTAACCCAGCATTCTTATGTTTTCTTCCGGAGCCCGACTGCGGCGTTAAACAGCAATTGTCACAACAAAACCAGCTTCAAAACTTCGGAACACTTCCCTACGGGCCGCTTGAATGGCAGAAGAAGGTGTAGCGCTCTCAACAGAGACCAGTCGCCGAGCCGCCAAAAGGGACACAAAAGATGATGGGCAGACACTTTCCCTTCTCCAAAGAAGCGCGACCTCCAGTCGCAGAGGTCGTCCTTTTTCGCTGCTCAACTGTGAGTCACGAGAGCGCTGAGGCCACTTTCGCGATAGTGATCCCACCCACGTGGCGATCACACCCAGACGTGCACAACTCGGTTGTTCACGTCTAAAATGAAAATAAAAATTATAAAAAAATTGGCACTATTTACCCTTTACTGCCCCAATCTTCCGAAAACAGGCCAGTTTTTGACCGACTTTTTTCTGCCTTGGCAGAATTGGCTGAAAATTTGTACCCTGGGGTAGTTTGACCTCCTGAACATGAATATCACATCCGCTAGGCACGAAACCTCCTGGCGCCCGCGCCACAGGCGCCGGCGCCAAAATACCTTAAATTACCAAATTCGCTGAAAACTTGTTCTCAGGGGTAGTCTGACCTCCTGAACACGAATATCACATCCGCTCGGCCTGAAACCTCCTGCCGCCCGCGCTACAGGTGCTGGCGCCAAAATACCCCAGATCACCGGCGCTGTGGCGCGGGCGCCAAGAGGTTTCGGGCTAAGCGAATGTCATATTCGTATTCAGGAGGTCAAACTACCCAGGAGACAACATTTGAGCCAAATCTGTCCACGGAGAAAAAAGTCGGTCAGAAACTGGCTCAATTCTGGATGGTTGGGGCAGTAAAGGGTAAATAGTGCCAAAAATTATTATCTGTGTGAGACTATTCGTCGTTTCC